ACGCTCTTAAATTTATATGATTTTTGAAAGAAAATTGTTGCGGGTATTTCTTTTATTTATGTTGCTAGTGATGAAGTAGACAGTGTAAAAGGCAATCAAGAGAAACGATTTAGTTTCGGAAACGCAGTTGCAGGTACTTGCGATAATCACAAACTTGTATTTGAAAATCAGGTTTGTTTCAGTCATATTTCAAATGGCAATACATCTTTTATTGCAAACGTTAATGAAAGTTACAACAACTCAACCAAGTTAATTTCACTGTCTGATCTTAGTCTTGGAAATTTTGTTGCATGTATTTACGATGCACATTGTACAATGATGCATCATGTGGATTGGAAATGTTTGTGAATTTGCAGAAGAAAGAAAGATGCTTTTACTAATTATATGCATCCTCATGTATGGCTCAGTCATTTTACTAGCCTAGTACCAAGGACACTTATTGGGTACCTGAGCAGGATGTTATTGCAGTCATTCCAGATCCGATCAGTTCTGCAACAAGTCAATATTACAATTTACTGTCAACTGTTGTTTTAGACATTAATTCCAAATTTGAATCTATTTTAAATACATAGCATAATTAAGTTCCCTAGTTAACAAGATTATGCATCTTTAATCAGGGCCGCACTTGTGACGTTGTTGGATTGATTGCGCTTTTAGGAATATGAATAATTGTCTAAAATTTTGTATTAAATAAAAAAATATGGAATGATCAACAATATCAATGGCTTTTTGCAGATCAACAAAACACCACATGCAAACAATTTATTGTCCAAATTGAATTGTGTCAAATAACCTACTAGCTAACTAAATTCGTAAAAAAAACTGACTATAACTTGAAAATTACCTTCTTTGCGAAGGATGGGGGGGAAGAGAGGGTTATAATTTTCTCCTTCTTCCCCCCTCCCCTCCCCCACACACACCCGTAAAATCGTCTCTGTTTACACTCACAATTTTTTAATTTAATATCAACTGAAGCTAGGAGAGTTAATACTGATGAAAAAAATGATTTAACATTAGGAACTAGTTTGTTTTGTCAAATAAGAGTTTGAATCTCACTAACTTTATTATTATATCTAAATAAAAGACAAAAAAAAGTATTATTTAAACAGTGCAATGAGCATTAGAGAAAAAAATAACATCTGTTTTTGTTTGAGTGAATAAAAAACATGACGTTTTAATTAAGTAAAATAATTTCAGTTTTATTTATTTTAAAATCGTTACGACGTTTGAAAATGATTTTTCCCCCCATTAATCAAACACTAAATGAAGCTTAGCTCAAGGCGATTGCAAATTTTTGTTGCTTCGTTAATAAAGCAGTTATCGTTATTAACATTAGATATTTGAGTTAAAATTAAGGAAAAACAAGTCTGATTGCTCAGTAATCTGATAAACAGATTCAATTTTTTTTAAACGAGGATGGTAGATACGTCATCGATTTTAAAGTAGTAATGCAGATAGTTTTTGCTGTATTTTGAAATACTAAAGAAAATTTAATGCTAATCTTTCAACAGCGACTAATTTCTTAAGAAAATTATTGTTATAATCACTATAATAACAACAAATGCACTTTAGTTAGTGGTTGACAAAAACGAATTCTAGATTTTATAAGAGCTCTGGAGAGATTGAAATTGAATAATTCTTTCGTTTACATTTGCTGATTTGATTGTAGCTATATTTTGTCCATGGTCTTGATTGGTCTTAATTTTCTCATAGAAATTTGAGGTGTTTCAGTTTAGTATTGAGTTTCAGGGAAAAACCGTTGATTTGTATTACGTTTTTTGTAACTAAACTTTTACCGGAGATTATGAACTTGGTTTTTTCTGTGAATAATTTGACATAGAAGATTTGACATTGCATTTGAACTTTATTAATTAACTCTTGTAGCCCAGAAAGAGTAGGGCTTTGCAGTATTATATTATCTGCATAAACAATAATATTACCAATAAACCCATTACTGTTTTTCTAATTTTACAATTGGAAACAATTTTACTTAATATACTTTCAGTGAAGATGTTGTATAAATGTGGCAATAAAATGGATCCTTGTCACACACCTTGAGACAAGCGGAAAGTATTTGATTTATATTTAAGGTATGATATATTAGCTGTACCTAAGCGGTATAATGATTGTAGTGCGCAAACTACGTTAGCGTAGTTTTTGTTGTAATAGAGTTTCTAATATAGCAAATCCCAGTTACAGCTATCGAAGGCCTTATTTGCGTCTAAACTTCAGAGACATACTGGCAAGTTATTATTATAATAATGTTTCAATGTCTTACTCACTAGAAATTCTGCATGCAGGGTGCAGCTATATTGCTTGAAACCAAATTGATGAGAGTCGCAGTCTGATATTTTTGGACATACTTGCATGATAATATATTCAAAGAGTTTTGTCAAGATAGGTGTAGTACTATTACTCCGATAGTTATCTGAACTGCCACGAGATTTATTATAAGATTTTACTATTGGAGTAATTATAGAAGTTGATAAGTACTCCAGCACAGCTCCATTATTAAAGATTTTGTTATGAAACTTTGAAAGCCATGTAAAGAGGTGTTGTTAGAAGAGTATTTTAGATGTTTAGCAGTAATTCCAAAAGAGTCACGTGATTTATTAGGCTTCATCTTATGAATACAAGATTCAATTGCATTAGAGTTTTGTCGAAAATTTTCTACAATTTTCTTTCTACCTTGTTTCTTATTTATCGTAAAAACACGAGTGTTTGGACTATTTTTAATTTTTCGGATATTGTTCCAAAACTTTTGAGGATTGGTTTTTCCAAGATATTCAATTTTTTTGGTAATTTTCATTTATTAAATAAAATGTATTCCTGTGATCTGTTATAGTTACATATTATCCATTCCTTAACGAGGAAAGAGTCTTTGCACAAGTTAATTTCTGGTTCCACCATGATTTAGAGTAAATGCAAAATTGCGCATTAACGTATTTTTTTTAAAGTTACTGTTTACTAAAATTAAGCATAAAAATGAAAAAATTTACGTTGTTTCTTTTTTTTTAAAAAAAGGAATTTATTATACATAGAACCTTTTTAATTCTATGAGCAATTGATTTTTATGGTTTTAAAAGATACTATTACACTCGAATAAATTTTTTAATAAGTCATTAGAGTATTACGGCTATGTTTTATTATATAGCTTTTGAAATAATATTTAACTTATGTAAAACTTCAAACTATGTCATTTTCAAACATATATTAAATTTCATAGTTTAAATTTTATTTGAAATTTACATTAGATTAGATTTAGATTTATTTCGCCGTTTAAAAATAGTTACAATAACCAGACAATATAATTACAATTATATATATATATATATATATATATATATATATATATATATATATATATATATATATATATATATATATATATATATATATATATATATATATATATATATATATATATATATATATATATATATATATATATATATATATATATATATATATATATATATATATATATATATATATATATATATATATATATATATATATATATATATATATATATATGTATGTATAATTACAACAACCATAAGAGAATATATATTTACATTTACATTTGGCAGCAACAACGGCAGGACTTCTAGAAGATCATGAGGATCTTATCATAAAGCCCTATAAAAATATAATATATTTACACTTTTTCAATATAATATTAATTAAAAATAAATTGCTCGTAATGAAATAATATATCATTTTATAAAAAAAACTTAGTAATTATTAATCTAAAATAAAACAATATACAAAAATAATTAAAAATAGATGAGAATATTTTCCAATAAAAGGATAATCTTTTTAAGTTTCTGTTTAAATAAAGCATAAGTCATTTTAAAAGAAAAATCAAAATTTGGTAATACTATTTTGTTCCAGAGATAAGGACCTCGATAAAAAAACTGGTCTTTTTTTTGATGGCAAGAGGGGGCAATAAGATTGCCCCCTCTTGAAAAAAAAAGTTGCATGAAATTATCATAAAAAGTTAGGACCAAATTATCGTGAACAAAAATCGCAGCTTCATTGCACTACTGCACGTTAGGAACTAAGCATGAAATCCCCTCACAGCAGATAAAAAAAACTAAAAAATATATTTTTCTATTGTGTTGTTTTGACCATGTTCAGAGTTATTCCGCATTCGTCATTACCCCACTCTCACCTACTCATCAATGAAAAGATGACATCAAAGAGTTTGAGATCGATTAGCATTGACCTCAAACTCTTTGATGTCATACTCTACATCTCTATCTTCTTCTCTGTGTTTTTGCTTATTGCTTTCATCTTTGACCTTGCTATGCTTCATGCAAAACTGATTCTCGGTACAATCATGCTTTCCTTTCATGCTAATTGCTCTGATGTACAATCAGCATGAAAGGAAAATAGTTGATTGTCGACTAACGTGAAAAGCAAAAAGAATACCCTCAACAATTTGCGGCCACATTTTAAGATTACATTCTAAAATCTTTACCAAAACGTTCATTATTGTTTAGTTTTTACGTTCTACCAATGCATTTTCCTGATGGTGATCAGCAGACGTAACTCTCTGTTTTACTCCAGTTAGTGCGTGCAGTATATACCTCGTTTACAAATTCCCGACCTTGGTCATTAATGACCAAAAAGTACTTA